TTTTTTTTATCAGCACCCTTTAAAGCACATATGCTTTAAAATGAGATAAACTTTATATTTTCCAACATACAGACAAGCAGGTAAATGTTAGAAGTACCTTATCAGAAATCCATGTTTATAAAAGCACCATGCTGCAGCCCCAGTGACATTCAGGAAAACCAAAACACCAAATAAGGCCCAAGCCACAGAGCATGCTCCTACATGGACACAAGAATTAAGAATATTTGACTTTTCCAATTTTACATTTGGATGACTTGGACAGCATTCAAACACCATGTAATACCTGCACCTGTACACATTCAAAAACGTGTCATTCTGACAAGTTCTAGGGCACAAAAATAAATGAGACAAACTTGATACGACCATGAACAGAACCTATCACAAGTCAGGACATGCTCTAAATTTTAGGTTTTGGAACTGACTTGAATAATATAATGTACTGGATGACTGGAGCATCAGTTATCTATCATTCATTCATTCATTCACTTGTATGTTTATCCCTTCATATGGAGAGTCCATCATTTTACTCCAAGTGTAAATGTTCAAGTTTCTATTTATTTCCTTTGATTGTGGTCCACAAAAAAATAGAACAGAATAACTTCAGAATGATACAATCTGCACAAAAGTTTGGAAATCAGAAACAAATTGAGAAAGATTTGGACAAACTGCACAGCTAAATCCAAGCTGACCTCACCTGATGCCACATGCACATACAGCTGACTGTGTTTTCTTCCATATGCATTAGATGCTTCACACTGATAGAGGCCGTTTAGATCAGAGGTCCGACTCAGCAGTTGTAGCTTTGCACCATCTACTTTGACGGCAGACTGCAGCAAAGACTGGCCAGATCTGGAAAAACATGACTGAGGTTTATTGTGAAATGCACGACAGGGCAAAAAAAAGTGAGTTGTGCTAAAATTCCAATGAATTTCAGCTATTAGTTTGTTAGTTGTGTTAGTCATTTTCCTTGCTCACATAAATGTTGCTATGTTCTTGAAATTAAACCAAAATACATGATCTACAGTGGGGTGAAAAACTATTTAATTAGCCACCAATTGTGCAAGTTCTCCCACTTAAAAAGATGAGAGAGGCCTGTAATTTTCATCATTGGTATTCCTCAGCTGTGAGAGACTAAACGAGAAAAGAAAATCCAGAAAATAAAATAAAAGAAACCTGTCCACAACCTCAAACAGTCACACTCCAGACTCTATTATGGCCACGACACAAGAGCTGTCAAAGGACACCAGAAACAACAGGCTGGGAAGACTGAATCTGCAATAGTTAAGCAGCTTGGTGTGAAGAAATCAACTGTGGGAGCAATTTTTAGAAAATGGAAGTCATACAAAACCACTAATAATCACTCGATCTGGGGCTCCACGCAAGATCTCACCCCATGGGGTCAAAATGATCACAAGAACGGTGAGCAAAAATCCCAGAACCACACGAGGGACATACTGAATGGCCTACAGAGAGCTGGGACCAAAGTAACATCAGTAACACATTACGCTGCCAGAGACTCAAATCCTGCAGTGCAAGACGTGCCCAGGCCCGTCTGAACTTTGCCAGAGAGCATTTGGATGATCCAGACGAAAATGGGAGAATGTCATATGGTCAGATGAAACCAAAATAGAACTTTTTGGTAAAAACTACCTGTTGTGTTTGGAGGAGAAAGAATGCTGAGTTGGGGGCATGGGGGGGACCCTGCGCATCAAATCCAACTTTTTTGACCCTATACGACCCATATCCGATCATGGTATGACAGTGTGAACGGCACAAATCCGATATTTTCAAACCCAACCTGGGTCACTTTCGTATGTGGTACTGAATCCGATACATATCTGATGTTTTAGAAAGCGACTGCTGTTTGAATGGTCATGTCGCATTAAATCCGTCTTTTACGTCACTGACACAAGAGAGATGCCAATACTCAGCGCCAGAGAAGCGCCCGAGAAGACATCATGAACGCTTCCTGGCCATCCAGTGTAGACGTTAGTGAAACTGTTGCGAAGACAACGTTGGAGAAACGTGAACATTTTATTTGTACTCTATAATCTGCAGATTCTGACGGAAATCTGCTACTATACTTTGAAGCACCGCTCCTCTCTGAAACAGCCATAAGGATCTTTATTAGGCCATATGTAAATAACAAAATAACTTTACAACTTAAAGCAAAATTGGGAAACGTAAAGTGCGGAACGAGTCTTTATATTAACAGCCATCAGGCTAACAATACTGTTTGGTCTGGGTCTAAACAAAGCGCTTTGTATGTGACGTCTTCTTTTGTGCATGCGGGCCGCTTTGAGGGTTCACACCAGAGCACGCTTGCTGTCACATTTTATCTGTAGTGTGAACAAACAGACAAAAACATCGGATTTGATCAAAAAATCGGAATTGAGCGTTAAGACCTGCAGTGTGAATGTAGCCTAAGTGGTGATGTCATACCAGCGAAAGCTTGCCCTCTCTCAGGGCTTTTTCAGCACAGTGTACTTAGACAAACCTAAAGAATCAATGAAATCACTTAAATTAACTGAAACCATTATACAAACTGCTTTACCTGCTCCAGGCAAATTTTGCGTTTGGGTTGGCTTCTGTCAAACACTCAAACGAGTCCTCTGAAATCACTCTAATCTTCACTTCTGTGGGGGCGACTGCAAAAAAAAGAAACAGAAGTGTGTTAATCATAAACTGTCAAAATAAAAGTGAACATACCTTTGAATCCTATCATGGCAGGCAGAACCATGAATCTTGGTTGTTTTTCTTTCTTTTTTTTTAAGGAGTGATCCTTTCATGCACATTCAAGGGTGTTAATCACTGGCTCACTTATAATCACTGCTGACTAAAAAAAAAGGCTCAGTAAATTCTGTGGTCATTTTGGGGACTTCCACCAAAAAACAGCTTCACCATGCCACTAAAAA